TTTGTGCGCGCACCGTCAAGCGCCGCCTCTATATTAGCTAGACACCGTATCTAATTTGCGAAAAATCATGTTAAACGACACACAACGCTCTCATTATGATTTACATTCAGCTGTATCATTAAAGTGAATAACAACGAACAACTCCCGCACAGCTATTGCTAAAACGGTTACAAAAACCGGTTATAACCGCAACAGTGACGTCACATCTCACAAACTGCTTTCTTAAATTGTAAATGTCATTTTTTGTATCGATACTAGCGTTTATCTAACAAGATATTAAATTTAATATAATTATGTTAGTTGATTTTATTTCTTAACCCATGGAAATTGAAAGAAAGAAAAAAAATTAATAGATTCGATGCTTTAAGTGTGTGAATGAAGTGTCGTTCATTAAAATATCAGTTAAATTTATTCTCGAAATTATGCAATTTTAAACAAGTATCGATAAATTATAAAAAAATAAGTGAAATTGGAAGATATTAAAAGACGTTTTCGGTTGTTAAATAACTTTTCCTAGTAGTTGTATGAAAATTATTGTTTTATCTGCGCTTTAGATCATAAACTGACCTAATACTTGGTAATTGCTTTTTATTAAAGAAACTTGCAAAAAAATTTAATTGAAAAACATACAACTATCTTTTTAACAGACTTAAAAAAATCAACTTGATTTTTTTTACGTATTTTTTTCTGATGGCGAATATCTGCTATTTGTCAAATCAAAAACTAACAAGTAATTTTTGAGTTTTTTTTAACCTAAATTTCGTTTTTTTTGTCGTGAAGTGGAATTTTTTTATTTCAAATAAAACCAAGTTTAGGTCATATCAAAAAATTCGCTAAATTTTAAACATTTCTCATTGAATTTCCTAAATCATTTAAGAATTGTACATAGTAAACGAAAGTATCTGATATTTTAAAATGTAAAAAAATACTTTTAACTACACAAACATATAGATTTTCAAATTGTATGTCTTATTTGTTAGCAGTTCAGTAAAATATTTGAAATATTCACGTAATACGATTCACTATAGTACGACAAACTTTTTGGCCCGGTGATGCAATTAAACATGTGCCGATGAAATACACAGATAACACCTTTAGTATCATAAAATAATTAAAACCCACTTAGGATATAGAAGATAACATAGTTTCGCGATAAGGTTTTTTTTGTACGATAGAGGGCGCTAATAAGCGTGTTTTGGCTACCGGGTCAAATAAGTTTGTCGTACTAAGTTCATTCAATGCAAAATATTAAGAAATAAAATAAAAGTGACAAATGAAAATTTCTATATGATATTAGACTTAATACCGGACTCAGAGTCGTTTAATAATCTAATACGGAGTCTCGTAATGCAGATTTATGACTATGCGACTGTCTAAATGAGGCTTAAACGACTCTGAGTACGGTGAACACGGGAATGTGTCTTGCTTTAGGTAAAGGGCTACAAAGGTGCTTTGAGACAGATCAACAGAACTACATTTTTATAAAAGTTAAAATTTTCATATTACAAATAGTACTGTAAAAAGGGTTTCTGATATTTTCTTATAAGCTAGATAACGATATTGTTTTAAATACATTTTCATAGAAGTAGAAATTGTCACTTTTTTACAATTTAATGACTTTGAATTTTAACAGTAACTTGGTTCGCGTGTATAGACCTACAAGGATCTTATGGCAGTTGGCAATTTTGCGAACTAACGTCTTCAAAGCATATTTTGACTAATAAGGAAGCGGCAACTGCACGGAATGTTGCCATTTATATAAAAATAATCATATAGTACTTTTCAACATGGGAGAATTTCGAAAGAAGTTGGGAATTTGTTTCCTGGTAACTCTGATAGCAGGTGCCCTGTTAATATAAAAAAAACTGCTATAACATCCTTGTAGAACTATACTTTGACAGACGTCGTGACTGACAGATGTCAGTGACATCAACTCGACTTAGGTTTGTGCCTTTATGCCAAAAAATGTTAGTTTTGTGAAGTATTGCAACATACGTTATGTATATATTTGTCTGTTTGTCTGTTTAGGTCGGTTTTGTTGTAGGTTTTTGTATCGTTTAAAGCGATTGTTATTTGGTATTTTAGGCGGCTTAATGCAATATGTTTACGCCGTGTATTACTTGCTTTAGTCTACTTTGCTTTGTCTTTGAAGGGAAAATGGCTCCTACGTAATTATTCTTTAGTAACACTAGATATTAATTACGTATCGAAAATGTAAAGTGTTAGGGTTACTTTGAAAACACAGAAATATCTATTTGTCATGTTAAATAAATTAATTTATACAAAACAGAAAAACACTAATAGATATACAAGCATAAAAAAGTAATAAAAAGTTAAGACGAGTGGTTTTTTCAACTTGGTCAATAATAATTTTCATTTAAGTCCACTGTAAATTTTTTATACCAATATAATAAACTCTATGACACTCCGAAAAAGAACACTATTCGAATGGCACCATATACAAAATTGATTCAATAATTTAGATTGGAAACTGTCACAAACTTACCTGTGAAAACATGACCCGTTTTGACAGTCAGATAAAAACATAATTCTCTTTGACAGTCGGGTAAAAAACATTACTGTCTTTGACAGTTGGATGAAAGACATTACTCTCTTTGACAGTTAAATAAAACGTATAAATTGCGACTTAGTACCGTTTACGTAGGAGCCAACAAATTCAATACATTTCAGGTTTTTCTGCAGTGATCCCTTGTTCTCATTGACAGTAACGTATCAATGCAGTAGAAACCTACCTTAATATGTGTATATATTCTAACGGGGAGTTAAAAGCGATTGCACGAAAAAAGTAATTTAAAAAGCTTTAATTTGTTAATGGAAAATGGTTTTGTCCTGTTTGTGACAGGCTAAAGATATAACACCCTTACATTTGGTTAATTATTTTGTCTAAAAAGTTTTTTTTAATCTTGTATAACCAGTAATTGAAGGTTTTCAATAAAAAGGTTTTTGAATCTCAATGTGGGGAAAAATACATAAAAGATTGAAGGAAACGGATATTTTCGATGTTTTACTGTTTTAATTTCTACAGAAATATATATGCAAACAAGAAAATATTCAATAAAATCGATTCTAAGACTTATTTCTTTGTTTTTTTTTAATTTTGACTGTAATTTGACATTTTTGTGTAAACAAATACAGGTTTTTAAGAAGTTAAAAACGAAAACATAAATCTATCTAACTTGTTTTAAATGCTTGGTACACTCTTGGCCAGTAAGACATCGTCATTAACTGGACTGGCATTAAACTGGTATATGAACTGGCGCCAGTAATAAAACTGTAAGTGAACCATAACTCCTAAATTCTATTTTTAAACCGTAATTTTATGTTTCATACTCTAAGTTAATTATTAAAAAAATACTCCGTAAACAAAAATTGTGAAATTCTTTAGATATCTGATTTCGTAAAAAATTTGTGGTTTGATTTTTTTTTTATTTAGATATCTACTAAAACATTATGTAAACAATTTTTTTATTTACGGTGAAACTTAGTCTGACCAGGAAAATAGAAAACGACCCCAAGAATGTTATTAATTTTTTTTAAGGCATTGATTTTGTAATTTCCTGCAATGAGGTGTTTTTTCCTGGTTATACTATTTATTTTGTATTTTTTCGTATTCATCACAATTTTTTAATTGTAAATTTGTATTTAAATTTTGTAAAAGCGATGCTTCCCCACTTTTGTAACGCATTTATAAATATAATGTTTGCTTGTTTGTGTGCGAGCGTCAAATATTACCCATTATTAAATTAAAAAAACAATTAATATTATTTGATTATATTAATGTACTATAGTTATTAATAAAAATGATTTTTAAGCCATTGTTTGGTTTTATTTATTTAACCCATAACCTATTGCCTAAAACCTATTTTTAACTACAAAAAGGACAGTGCAAAATAAACTTAACCAATAGTAAGTATTTCCTGTGAAATGGTGAAACTTTTTTTTTCATTTTTTATATGGTGGGCAATATATTCCCTCTACCGGTCAAATTCTATTTTCTTTTGCACCCGATCTCTCTGTTACTCTAAATATATACAATAATTTGTTTTTGGTAGTATTTCAAATAAAACACCAATGCAAAACTAAGTTTTATATTTATTACAAAAAAGTATTTTTTACTTATAAAAAAAAAATAATTTTATTTTATATGAAAATCATTACAAATAAACATGGTGGTGAAAATATCGCCTCTAACTTATATAGGGTTAAGATTATGGATAACATATAGTTGGTATAAATACGTAATCCGAAGCATAAAAGTGAGGCGAAAAAACCTCCAAAAGTTGTTTGGGTAAATCTCCTAAGTCATATTATTTACAAAATGTAATTTTTGGAAAAGAAACTCGATAGTCATAGGGTTAATTTAAAAGTCGAAGGGGCGCTAGGGGCGCTGCGCTCTTCAATGCCCTTGTCATTGTGACCTCTCTTGACAATGAGTTAGTTAATATCATGTAACGAATATAAAAAAAAAACCTTAAAATTGACATGTTTCCACCCCTTTCCTACTCTTTAAAGAAATAGAGACAATAATATGTTTTGCGTTGATGTTTAGGGAATGGAAACGCACGGAAGAACTGCGTCCTTCAAAACAAAAGATGTTTAAAATTAACGATTACATTGTTCTATTTGTTAAAAAAATAATTATTTACGTATTGCAATTATTTTTTATTAAACAATATTCATTAAAAATGAAATATAAAACCAATATAGTGAAGAAATTAAATGGTTCGGTTTGTTTATCAAATTAAAAACCTTTGCCTAATACTATTAATAGTTTAATAAAATTAATATATTTTATAGTTAATCCTTGAATAGAAAAGGAAAACTAAATAAACAAAAACTACATCAATACATTTCTTCTGATTTAAGAAAGCTTATAATAGATTCCATATTGCTTAGACATTACTAATTAGTAAGGTATTTTTATTGTAATAACATAATACAATTTATTATTACTACGCAATAACATTTTTCACATAAGGATGTTTATATAAAATTATTTAAACAAATTAAACTAAAACATCGCGTAATAATTCACGATTCGTTTCGCGAAATTAAGACATTTTCAACGGACAAAAAGAACCAGACATGTTTGTGAAACGAATTCACGTCAATACATATTTGTCCAGTTGTTCAAATGGAATTAATTGCTCTTTTCATAAAAATCAACTACATAAAGTATGGGAAACCATTCTTGCGATCGGATAGAACTGTCACTACGATTGCTTGCTCTGGACGTGACATCGAGCTTCTCAAAATGCTGAAGGTTTTCATTTTAACCTTGTTGTTTGGCTTTGGGGGTGAGTAATTTAAAATAAACGTATTAAAACCATTGTGTGTGTGCAAACCGTCACTTCAGTGACAATGAAAACTTTAAATTTTCTGTAATTGTTTCCACAACAATTGCTTAGTCTTACTAAATGATAAAGATGGATGTTTGTTAGAGTTTGTATCCTAAACTGCTGAATAGATCTCGATGAAATTTGACATGTAGAGGATAGATTGGAAGAACACACAGACTATCAACTTTTGTGTTTTTTATAATTCCACGCGGGGGAAAGCTAGTCTAGTCAATACTAATAATATAAAGAGGAAAAATTTGTATTTGTAAAGATTTGGATATTTGTAAAAACCACTGGGCCTATTCCAAAAATCTCTCACCATTAAAAAGCTACGTTATCTGTGAGTAACATAGGCTACATTATTTATAATTTTTTTAATTTCACGCGGGCGAAGTCGCGAGGAAGTAAATGTATGAACCTTTATGTTACTAGCGTGTCAGGTGAGGCG